TACCATTGAGACTGAAGGCAAGACGTTTAAACTCACAAAGGACATGGTCAGTGTGAAGCGACAACAGAAAACTCTCCATGGTAAAATTTGTAGTAGTAAAACTAAAATACTGTTTAATTCACTGGAGATACATTTTCAATATAGTAAACGCTTATTTTTTTTGTCCAGTGGAGGAAGTTGTTCCAAATGTAATCGAGCCCTCATTTGGGATTGGTAGAATCATGTACACCATCTTTGAGCACACATTCCATGTCAGAGAAGGCGACGAACAAAGAACAGTAAGTAACACTTTGAATGTACATGTACAAGTCTGGAGTTAAAAGATTGCTTGAGATTTATTTACTTTTCTGCAGTATTTCAGCTTCCCTGCCACTGTTTCACCATACAAATGCTCCATCCTGCCTTTGAGCGTTAACCAAGAGTTCATCCCTTTTGTAAAAGCACTTTGTGAGTATGTTTGTGTTCATTTCATTAAAAAATGCATTACACATTCCCTAATTGATTATTTGTCGGTTTGTTTTTCTTTTTCAGCTGAGGCAATGACCAAAAATGGTGTGTCTCACAAAGTTGATGACTCCTCGGGGTCCATCGGGAGACGCTATGCTAGGACAGATGAGGTCGGAGTGTCTTTTGGCATCACCATTGATTTTGACACAGTGAACAAAACGCCACACACTGCCACGCTGAGAGATAGGGACTCAATGAGGCAGATCAGAGCAGAGGTAAGACGTGGCATCAATTATATTTTCTTATAATATATTTTTAAACGCTGATTTATATATATTTTTATTATATGTATGAATGGTATTTTGGACTACATTGTTTAAAAAAAAAAGAAGAAACAAGTGATAAAATTACAATGAAATGTGTATAGTTTTAAGTGTATGTATGAAATATAAAGTGTTTTTCTTTTTCAGATCACTGAGCTTCCAGACATCGTCAGGGATTTGGCCAATGGTACAATGACATGGGCTGAAGCAGAGAGCAAGTACCCCATCTTTGAAGGACAGGAGACTGGCAAGTTGACTGTTGAAGAGTAGAGCAGCCTGGCTGTCACATTAAGGAACCTACAATCATTTTGTGTATGCACCACAGGGATGAAAAATGCAACTATACTGTCATAAGCTATTGTGGACTGGAGCACCAAATCTCTTCAGTCCCCACAATGCCATGTATTCATCGTATTAACAGTCGTGGACGCTTGCACAGGAACTTTCTCTTATAAGCAACATTTCATTGGTCTTATGTACAATTTGTTGTGTTTTTAAAAGAGGAAACTGTAACTTTGCTTTCTTCATAAGAGGAACAATGCACCATTCCAGGTTTCATTCAGACTGGATACAAATATTTAACTATTTCAATAAAACAAACCAGCACTTACTGGTCACTTGCATTCAAATCACTCTTATGTCTTATGTTTAATAACTTTTATTAACTTGAACTGTAAATAAAAGTTGTTCACAACTTACAAATGTCATAAAATGCATAGAAGCGCAAGTATGCTTTGACTATCTTAAAGAGAGAGCTAGTTTATATAATGTATCGTATCATTTCATTGTAAATTTCTCAATGGTAAGGCGAGCAAGAAAGAATCCTGAAGGCAACAGAGAGCATGATGCAACATAAAGTCGGAGTTTCAGCCACGCGAGTGAGGAGGCACCACCCCCTTAAAACAAAACAGAAACAGAGCGCGAGTACAGATCAGTGCGTATAGGACAGCAGAGCGCAGGAGACGGCAGAACAGCAGATTACCTGTGACCAGTATCGCAATGGAACAAGTACTCGCCCCATTACGAGACGCTGTGAAGCAACAGGTACGTGCTTAATATGGCATTATCATGTTAACAAGACAAAGTTGGTTATGATTAAACTTCACTGAGATACGTGTTTCAAGACTTATGTTTTTTTTAAATTATACCTCGATCAGTTATCTCAGATGACCTGTCACGTTGATGAGGAAGTGGGTGTTGATCTTCATGTACTTTGAGAATGAAAGACTGTTTCAAGTCCAAATAATAAGTTAGATTACACTGTAAACTGCATTATCATTATTATTATTATGATAATTGTTTGCTTTTCACCAAATGGAACTAGGCTACATTCTTTGTGACACTTGACTAGTAGTTTTTTGTTTGTTTTTTTTTGTAGGGAGATCTGGTGCACCAGCTGAAGGAGCAGGGCGTTTCAGAGCAGGAGCTGAACAAAGCTGTGGCAGAACTCAAAGCTCGGAAAAAGACCCTTGAAGCAAAGGTGCAATGCATTTCCATCATTTTGCTCTGATTTTCTAAAGCTGTCTTTAACACTTATACATATACATATTTCCAGGAGCTCGCCCTGCAGCCGAAAGATGAAATTGTTGACAGGGCAAAGATGGAGGACACTTTGAAGAGGAGGTTCTTCTATGATCAGGCTTTTGCAATTTATGGAGGTGTGACTGGAAATATAATGCTGACCTTGTACTCATAACTGTGCAAGCAAAAGTGTGAAAATAATATCTAAACATCGGTATTGTAGGTGTGAGTGGCCTTTATGACTTTGGCCCAGTTGGTTGTGCCTTAAAAAACAACATACTGCAGGCCTGGAGGCAGCACTTCATTCAGGAGGAGCAGATCCTGGAGATTGACTGTACCATGTTGACCCCAGAGCCTGTTCTAAAGTATGGGCGATTAATAAACCTAACTAAATAATGTTGTTTGTTACAAGAAAATTGCGTTATCTTTTTCAGAACATCTGGACATGTGGACAAATTCGCAGATTATATGGTGAAGGATTCCAAAACAGGAGAATGCTTCCGTGCTGACCACCTCCTGAAAGGCAAGCTTGACAATATATCTCCCAAAAACAGCCACTGTTGGGCAAGTTACTTTGAAACTGTAATGCGTTATTTATTACCTATTACTGTCATTTCAAAGTAATTCGTTACATTACAATATTACTGCATTTAAAATGTAAGGCATTACATTACTATTGCATTACTTTAAGTTACTCTCACCAAAATAACTTTTGCGCTGTATATGGACTGAACCAGGACGAAACCAGGTCTAAACCAGGACTAAACCAGAACTGAACTAGGACTAAACTAGAACTGAACTAGAACTAAACCAGAACTGAACTAGGTCTAAAACAGGACTCACTGTAGGGACGGGCTCGAAGGTGACCGCAGGAGAAAGGAGCGGCTCTGCTCCGCACTTCACGGAGGTAAGAGCGGCTGTCACCCTGCTGCTCGGGCTCGCGGCCCTGATTTCAGCAACTATTTGCAGGTACCCGAGCCGGTGCAAGAGTCTGTTACAGCGCGTAACTTCTACCTTCCTTCAGCGTGTCCAGAAGTCCAACTTTTTGTGTGATGGTTTGCATCTTCCTCTGCCTTTTGGGTGCGAGTGCAGGAGCCTTTGTCGGTGCAGAACGTTTCGTCGACGTTGTGGGTTTCGTTGGGGAGAAAACTTGCAACCGTACAGCACTTCAGAATCACACTGCTAGAGATTGAACATGTATTTAAATTTGGCAGCTGAACACATTTTGTACTGTACAGGAGACAGGAGTCCCTTGGCCAGTCAGGACGCAGCGGGAGGAACGCAATACACATTCATACAATGTAAAAAAAAAAAAAAAAAAAAAAGGGCATGCAAAATTGCACACAAAAAATAAAATAAAATAAATAAAATCTGCGAAACAGCGAGACCGCGAAAAGTGAACTGCGATAGAGGGAGGGACGAGTGTAAACCAGGCCTAAACCAGAACTGACCCAGGTCTAAACCAGGTCTAAACAGCGTGGAGTTCTTTGTCAGTCGTTTCGCCCGCGGTTACCTGAAGGTCTATGAGGGCGCATCTCCGGCGTTTCACCGCTGCTGATATCGAGGTGATTTTAGCGAATTTGTATGAAGAAAAACCCACCACTTCAATCCAGGTTAAAAAAACATTGTAACGCGCGTTACTCACATTTGTACCGAGTAAAATATGACTATTTTTTCCCCTGTAATGCCTTACATTACTGCGTTACAGCAAAAAGTAATGCATTACTGTAATTCGTTACTTTTATAACGCGTTACTCCCAACACTGAAAACAGCTAAGAAACTTGCTACAAGTGTTCAGTATCCAATCATTTTAAATGCTGAGTGGCAAGACACAGACAAAATCTGCTTTTAGGCCTTCAAGTGGAATAATATAACTAGCACCCTTTCTGTTATCAGTATTTCCCATTAATTAAAGATGGTGGAGCTTAGTCAGTTTTACCTTTCATTGACAAACAGGCTGCTACCTGCTCGTCCTGAGGGATTACTGGGTGGAAAGGCACTGGGGGAGGGGGCATTGTCAACTCTTTTTAAAAACTTGTTAAACTACTCTCTTGTGCAGCACACCTAAAGAAGATGATGTCCGATGAGAAATGCTCTGTCGAAAAGGCAACTGAGATGGATGATGTAATTACTCAGGTATGTGTCCAGTCAAGGCATACAGTCAATCTCTTTAAATTAACTTTGGATGAATATTGATTTTTGTTAACAACAGTGATTGTTAGATAAATATGCCAATTCAAATTTAATTAGATTCTGTAATATTTTATCTGCATGCTGTGTTTTCATTAAGAGTGAGATCGAGGCTTTGCAGTTATTTTGTACATTGATATACCATGTTATGCTTACATATACAGTAAAAGCATCTTCTTCAGCTATAAATAATGGATCATTACTTTTAGAGATTGACAAGAGATCGATAGTTTATAGCCCAAAGGTGCACTATATAACTCCTGGTGGAGGGCCTGCATTTGCCTGAAATGTTCCAAAGTATAGCATCAAACTTATCTCTTTTTTATACTATTACAGTAAAAAATGCATGCATTCTTACTGTGAGCAGGTCCTTCTGCATAGACCTATATCTTGGCCTGGTGATGTCACCTGCCTCCATGGATATAAATAATGGTATACTGTGGAACTTTTTTGGCAAAACAATAACATCTCCTTTAAGACAATCAGATGACAGACCTTCCACCAGAAAAGTTATTAATTAATTAAATGATGTTGATTTTCAGATGGACAACTACTCACAGCAGGACTTGGCTGATCTGTTTGTGAAATACAACGTCAAGTCTCCCTCCACAGGAAATGAACTCACCCCTCCCATCTCCTTCAATCTCATGTTTCAGACATCCATTGGCCCTGGTGGCAACATGCCTGGGTACACATCACTATATGAACACTGTATGAAAATCAAAGCACATTTAATAAGATGTATTAAAATATTTTCTTTGTGCAGATATTTGAGGCCTGAAACAGCTCAAGGAATGTTCCTAAACTTCAAGCGTTTACTGGAGTTTAACCAAGGAAAGCTTCCTTTTGGTGCTGCTCAGATCGGAAACTCCTTCAGGAATGAAATTTCGCCCCGCTCTGGATTAATTCGTGTCAGGTTTGTTAATTTAATTTTATTTAATTATATTTTTTTGTAGGAAAGTATTATACATTCAGTAATCCTATGTAACACCTTGCATACAGGGAGTTCACTATGGCTGAAATAGAGCATTTTGTGGACCCAAATGAAAAGGTCCATCCAAAATTCTCCAGTGTTGCCGACCTGGAAATTATACTATTCTCTTCTAAAGCCCAAACCAGTGGGCAGTCCGCACAAATCATGAGACTAGGAGATGCAGTAGAACAGGTGGGTGGTACTTATTTTAAACAATACATTTCACCATTTTAAAATATTGATCAATATTTTTTGTCTCCTCTGCCAAAGGGAGTCATCAACAACTCAGTCTTGGGCTACTTCATTGGCCGTATTTATTTGTATCTTCTCAAAGTGGGTCTCTCCAAAGATAAAGTACGTTTCCGACAGCACATGGAGAACGAGATGGCTCACTACGCCTGTGATTGTTGGGATGCCGAGTCTCTTACCTCCTATGTAAGTTCACTATGTCTGACCTTTTCAAATGCATTAATAATATCAACGTTGTAATCAGTATGCATGTATTTGGCTCCATAGGGTTGGATTGAGATTGTGGGTTGTGCAGATCGCTCCTGCTATGACCTCACCTGCCATTCAAGGGCCACCAGAGTCCCTCTAGTTGCTGAAAAGCCTCTAAAAGAGCCCATATCCTTTGTTTTACTAGGACATGCATTTCGTTTCCAATGTTTTTTAGTGTCCAGCTAATTTTATCCATAAAATCTTCAATCTAAAAGTTTTAGATCTTCCTGACAGGTAATATGAACCTATTTTTATGTAACATTTAATTTTAGTAATCTCATAGCTACTAATATTTATAAAATATTGTTCATCCGTTGCTTTCCTTAACAATTTCACACAAAGTAGTAAATGTGACCCAGTTTGAAGCTAACAAAGCCACCATAGGGAAGGAATACAAAAAAGATGCAAAGTTGATCCTGGATTATCTGTCTGTCTGTGATGAGTGCTACATAAGTGACCAAGAGAAGCTTCTCAGTGAAAAGGGGTAGGCTGTATTTTGATTGCTTTAATATTAAATTAATAATCCTAAATCATTACATACTGATGTCTCTGGTCCTTTCAGAGAGTTCACTATTGAAACCGAGGGAAAAATATTCACTTTGACTAAAGACATGGTCAGTGTGAAAAGGTTTCAGAAGACTTTGCGGTAAGACATAATTCTACATAGTGTTTAACAAAGAAATCTAGAGCTTACTTTTGTAATATGAAAACATTTCTTTGTTTTAGTGGAGGAGATAATTCCCAATGTAATCGAGCCATCATTTGGCATTGGGAGAATCATGTACTCTATATTTGAACACTCCTTCCACATCAGACAAGGAGACGAACAGAGGACGGTAGGTCACATGCAGCTGCTTGTTCATACATCTTTAAAGCATCTTTTGGGATCAGTTTACTTTTGTGGTTATTATAGGCTTTTTAGAGTGGGCTATCTTTAAATCAGCAGTTACTATATAATATTCCATTATCATATGTGCATGAACTAAACATACACTTTTATTTTTATCAGTATTTCAGCTTCCCTGCACCTGTATCCCCATACAAATGTGCAATCCTTCCTTTGAGCTCAAACCAGGAGTTCATGCCATTTATCCACCAGCTTTGTAAGTATTACACAAAAACAATCATATAAATAATAACATTATAACTCATATTTGAGTTGTGTTTCTTGTGTCTTTGTAGCTGAAGAGCTGACTAGAAATGGAGTGTCTTATAAAACTGACAACTCCTCAGGGTCCATTGGGAGGCGCTATGCACGAGCAGATGAGATCGGAGTGGCCTTTGGTATCACTATAGACTTTGACACAGTGAACACAGTGCCACACACTGCCACGTTGAGAGACAGGGACTCTATGAGGCAGATCAGAGCAGAGGTAGGGTGTTATATATGGTATTATACAGTGTGTGTTTGTCTTACTTACAAAATTGTCCTTCAGGTCGCTGAGCTGCCTGCAGTGGTCCGAGATTTGGCAAGTGGTGTTTTGACCTGGGAAGAAGTGGAGAAGAAGTTTCCCATTTTTGAAGGACAAGAGACCAACAGAAAGGATTAATGAAACAGACTCTTTATAGATTTCATTTTGTCATTCCACATTATACTGTTTAGTTTTGTATAATTTAAGAGCCGCCTTTGTGACCGTTTGAGTAATGAAGGCTGTTTTGAAAGGGAGAAAAAAGAGGGATGTTTCTACACACCAAATGATTGTGATAATAAATCTTATTTTTGTCTTTTATATGTACCCAGATGTATGAGTGTATTTATATTGTCAAACGGTGGCCTTTTAATTGTTGGATGATTTGGTCATTGTGCACACACAAAGGTTTTTAGAGACTAACAACAGTGTGACAACATGTTTACTGTTAATAGCCCTTGGAAAATGTAATGTAATTTAAAACCTGCAATATTATATCAAGGGATGGTAAAGAAATATGTAACTGTTATGGTATATATGCGATAAAGAGGAGAAGAATTAGGGAAAGAAAGTGTTTAACAAAGCTGTGGCCTACACGGGCTACTTTAGAGAAAGTTTATATAAGAGTGTAGTAGTAGGCTAGATTTTATGGCAGGTGTCAGAGGTTCACTTCAAAGTAAGATAACAAAAGTAATTTGAAAATAACATATCTCCAAAGGGCTTAATTTGTCAAGACAGTAGTCTAAGGGTTGGGTGTGTGAGCCTGTGACTCCAAGCCCCTGGTATAGTGTTTCTTGAAGCCTATTGTACTGATTTAGCAGCCCCTCGTCCCGCCCCCTTGTGTCAGTGGTCAATGTATAAATACATTTGTTCACCTTTATGCAGCGGCAGCTCCCACACGGGGGTCAAAGGGACCCGCGGCCCTCCCACTCTGTGGATGCACAACACAAGAAAAAAGTACCGTATTTTACTTACCTAAAATCAGGTTTGAAGTGAACCTTTCCCGTCTGGACTTCGTTAAACAACTCTACGAGCTCTCAGCTGCTGCGTTCAAGGTCAGTATCTCAACAGGTGCTGCGGAGGACGACTGGAGCAGGCCCGATGGCATTTAGCCTGTAGCTGGGTTACTGTGCCACTTTTGTGCATTTGACGGAGAAATTTTGTTGTTATCCGGAAACATGAAGCTTGGTTTGTTTTGCACCTGCAGGTAAAACTGGCTGTTTTTGCATGGAATAAAAAAACTTAAAAAAAAACTAAAACATCAACTTCGGACTTCTTAGTATCTTTGATAGGCCTGTTATCTATTTTTTATGTTCCAGACTGCGGATAAAATACTTTGATTAACTGCTGTAAAGAGAGCGTAAACCAGGCTGCGGTTTCAATCAAAGCCCTTGAGTCAGTTTTAAATATAGTCCAAACGTTTTTTGTTTTTTCCCCATTTAGATACTTACCTGACTCTTATGTTTACTTTAATCTGCCAATATATTTAGGCAGTTTAAATTGCAGTGTTCTTTAATTATCTTGTCTTGTGCCACCATTTAAAAACTACATTAGGCTGCACCTGTGCCTAAAGCCCTTAGGTCACTGAATGGCTTGAAGTTCCAATTTGCTTATTCTAAAAAAAGATTAGGGACCCAAGGTGCTGTCACACCCTCTGCCATGTCACAGGTAGAACCTGTTTTTAAAGTTCCTCCTCTGATGTTCCTGTGTTCAGGGGCTGTGGGAGCTCTTTTTCTCTTGACTGCAATGGGGATCAAAGCTGCACTGCCCAAATATGAGCTTTATTTCTACAACACGGTGCTGTGCCTGGCCCTGCTCTGGGCCACAAGCTGGATCTTTGATGTCTCCAGTGGTGAGTATGAAAAACACATAGGACTGTGCAAAGGTGAAGTTAAGGGATAGGCTAGAATAGGCCAGTAGCAAAAAGAAACCATAATGGTTTACTTGTTTTCATTTATAATCCCCTTTTTAAGATACAGTAGTGGTTTGGTTTGTATTGGCAAAGACAGAGAGCTCTATTTAATTAATTTGATTTAATCAGTGCATGCAAGTCCAAGCTCCTTTCATCAGCATTTTATATGTGCTACATTTTCATTATGAATGCATTTTACTGTTAAATGCAAACAACTTCAGTCTTTAAAAGGAAATCGAATTTTAACAGAGCAAATACATAACATTTCACCAAATAATTTCACTGCCGTAAACTGTGATGCCTGGATTTATTTTGTCAGAAGCTAAATATAAATCACATTCTCTGGCATTTATTTTACAATGGCCCATAATACTAACCACACACACTGCATGTACTTCAGATTCGGCTGTATACAGGGCACACAAAGTTTGTTCAGGGGGAGCTATGCTGACCATTCAGGGCAGATCAAGTGTCCATTTTAACACCATGCAGACAAAATATAGCTTGGTGCCGCCTCTTGTGTTTTATAATGACAATGTAGATGAAACTGATGAACTGAACTTTTTCTTTTTACAGCAAATACCAACAGAAAAACATTCAAAAGCAGCATTAAGCCCGGATGGCACTACTTCGGGAGAAAAATGGTAGGAAAAAATTTAGTATAAATAAGAATAATTTAGTACACATTAATTGAGTAACACATTATGCTTACCTGCTTTTTACTGGTGGTGATATTTGTCATTTTTACACCTGCTGTCTAAATAAATGGCAACATATTCTGTATTTTTATTAGACTAACATTGCAACTTGCAATACTGTTAAGTGGTGTATATTAAAAGATAATTAAACTCCATCTCTTCATCTGTAGGACACAGCGGACTTCGAGTGGGTGATGTGGTTTTCTACGTTCAGAGATCACATCCTGTTCGCTCTTTCAGGGCATATACTGTTCGCCAAGCTTTGCACTCTGCTGGTTTCACAGGTGATTCACTATAGCAAATAATAATGATTATGCATTAGTCTTATATTCTTTTCCAGACACTCTGCGGTGGTAAGCAAGTATTGTAGCCACAGCTGCCCTGGGGCAGACTAACAAAAGCAAGGCTGCCAATCTGTGCCATCGGCTCCTCCAACCACCAACCACACACGCAAACACCATTTTTATACTAGGTAATGTGGGTGAAGTGTCTTGCCTAAGGACACAACAGCAGTCCAAGTACTAACCCAGTCTTGTTTAGCTTCTGAAATCTGAAGAGAGACACCAAGCATGTTTGGCCACTAGATAATATATGGTTTATTCCACTCATCATAAAGAAAGAAAATTAGATGACTTGAATGTTCCACAGTTGAGCATTTAATGTATCTATCTAGCATTTATGTTGGTTGCATTTTATTTTATTGCTCTAAATATCTAGAAAAATATACATTCCTCGCCTCTCTACAGATTTGATCTGTATCTTGGCCTTGTTGCTTCACCTGCTTTGTCTCTGTGGAGATGGACGCATTTAATGCCATACTGTGGAACATTCTAGGCAAAGCAATAACATCATGGCAACAAGCAGGTAACGAATAATCAACCAGAAAAGTTACATTAGGTATATGAAAAATATAATCTTGTAGGATTATGTAGCAGGCCTATAATTAAGTAGAAAAAAGTACTGCTTTCCCCAGCTTTTTAAATGTATTTTATTTTTTATTTTATATTTATTTATTTTTACACACCACTTCTAACTCCACAGTACAGGTCCCTGGTGTTTCTGGTCTATGGGGTCCTAGCTGTTTGGACCAGTATGGGCTGGACCTACGTGACCTTGATGCTGTCCCACTGCATCCTGCTCTACAGCATCTCTCTGGTGAAGATCCGCTGGCTCTGCTTCCTCACTGGCCTCTGTACTCTGGCCTCATTCAAGTGTGAGCCCTTTGTGTCTTGGCAGGTAAACATCACCATCTTATCACCAGTATAAATGAGTACCTAGGGTTTTCAAAAGTATGGAAAATCAGAGAGTAGTTGATATAAAAACAAGACCAAATTTGACCTTTCCTGAATGATCTTGAGTTTTATCTGAACTGGTATAAGATTATAAATACTATTATTTTGTGTTTAAAATGTCAGTTCATTGTCAAAAAAGAGTCTTTAATTATGGTAACAAAATTAGTAGTGAATCTATTTCCAATTTTTAGCTACACCAGCTAGAATTAGTAGTATCTTCTAACTTCCTGTGTTGTCTTAGGCAGGTTTTGTGGAGGGGGACTTTGAACTGAGGCATGTACTTTTCTATGGAGGCTGTGGCTTCACCATCATGCGCTGTATCAGCTTTGCACTGGAGAACTGTGAGAGAAAAGATGGAAACTACAACATCCTGGAGCTGCTCAAATACAACTTCTACCTCCCATTCTTCTACTTCGGACCCATCATGACATTTGATCAGTTCTATGCTCAAGTAAATTTAATATCAAAACTCAGAACTACAAAGCTTATTAAGTTATTGAAAAAATCTACCACATTTGAAGCAGCAGTGCAAAAATGTCTATGAAGATGCTAGTTTAAGGTACACATTCCCCTCGTGAGTAAATTCATTCTCTGCATTTGACTGTTCTTCAAAGACACTGGGGTAACCTGTCAGGAGCAGTGGGCACCAAAATGGCACATTTAAAAGCTTAAAATCTTAAATATTAGACTGAAAATTCTATGAGATATGACACCACAATCCTGAGCTCAATATTCCATGTGTGTATTACAAGAAAAAAACATGTCATACCTCATAAAGAATGTACAATGTGGTACACACATCATAGACATCGTACAATGTGGCACACATATCGTAATAATCTGAATGACTATATTGCAAGAGCCTTTTGTAAGGTTTGAGTCCATACACTGTATTGTGAGTATAGTCTGGGACAAGAAGGTCAAGGCATCTCAACCTACTGTGTCTTGTGTGTATGCTGCCCTCTGCAGGTGAACAGGTGCAACATGAGCAGAAAGGAAAGAGAGATGTGGAACATCAGTTTGCATGGACTCATGAATCTGGGCATCATTATTGTAGTGGACATCCTGTTTCATTTCATGTACATCCTGACCATACCCACAGACCTGAAGCTCCTGAAGCACCTCTCAGACTGGGCTCTAGGTCTGAACCTCTACAAATGAAACCTTGTCATATTGTAGCTGTAATACTGAACTGAACACTCAACATTGTTTCCAGTGGGATTGGCCTATGTGAACCTGGTGTATGACTGGGTTAAAGCAGCTGTCATGTTTGGAGTCATCAGTACTGTGGCGAGACTGGATTACCTCGACCCACCCAAGCCCCCAAAATGCATCACTTTGCTCTATGTGTTCTCTGAAACGTATGTGGAAGCATGCATTGTTTAATCAGATTATTGTGATTTATTTAAAAGGAAAGATTTTGTTTGTTTTTGACAGACACTTTGACAGAGGAATCAACGACTGGCTTTGCAAGTAAGCTGAATGTCCAGTTATCTTGCCACATCTATAGTTATCCATAGTTGCTCTCTGATGAACAGTATTCTGCTGAATAGATATGTGTATAATCCACTGGGAGGGAGCCATGACAGTGTGGTGCAGGAGCTGATAGCCACTCTGTGCACTTATGGAGTAGCCATCCTCTGGCTCGGGCCTTGCAAGGTTGTGCTTGTCTGGGCGTTTTTCAACTGTTTTGGCCTCAACTTTGAGCTGTGGGCTGCCAAGTTTTTTTCAATGGAGCCCTTTGCATCCTTTGAGGTCAGTGAGTGAACAACTGCTTATAGATTTTTTAGATTGATTGATATTGATACATGAAACATTGATACATGTTTATATTTTATTCCCAGACAGCAATGTCAGCAGCAGGATCCCGGCGATTAAGAGCCATCTTTAATGCCTTCAACTTTTGGTGCATTTTATTGTTTAATATTTTGGCCTTGAACAGTCTTGACTTTGCTAAAATGGTGGCTAAAAGACTGCTGCTCAAAGGTAGCCAAATTTAAAATGTTTATTTTTTTCCCTATTGTGTAACACTGATTTTATGTCCACAGGTTTTCCCATAACCACAGTCATGGTGCTGTTTGTGACCTACTGCCTGGTACAGGTGATAAAGGAGAGAGAGCGGAGACTAGCGCTGATTGATGACCCAGACCCTGAGCCTCCTGCCCCCCCTCTCGACACTGCCGCTCCCACAGACCCCACCCAGCCTGCCCCCGAACCGGGCAAAGAGAAGGCAGAATGAGAGTAGTGCAATGTTTACCAACAGTATTACAGATCATTTAATACCAGGGATTTTAAGCATTTAATTTTGACTGTTAGAGGTTGTACAACATTTCATTTAGGTCATTAATGTTTATGCAAAATAAAATGATTAATGATTATTTACAATGATGCTTGTTAATACTTTTATCAAAGTAATAAATATCTCCCTTTGTTGCATAGGCTACTGTATTTTCTTTGGGTCTGGTATGCTAGTAATGATGCTACATTTTAAATTCCTGGCCAGTGTTGATTTTAATAATAATGATAGGCTCAACAAATCCTCTCAAAGTGCTACACCGTAATCATTGCGATGGTAAGCAATTATTATAGCCACAGCTGCCCTGGGGCAGACTGATGGAAGCAAGGCTGCCAATCTGCACCATCAGTCTTTTGACCACCACCATTTACTCACGCATACACACACCACATTCATACTAGGCAATGTCTTGCCTAGTATGAATGTGGGCAATGTCTTGCCTAAGGACACAATGACAGAACTTGGTCTGAGCAGACAGCAGTGCTCCAATCATTGGGTTGGGGACCACTATTCAAATCACTGAGCCACTGTTGCCCCAATATATATATATATATATATATAACATATATGTGGTTAAATTAATTTGATCTCAGTGGAATAATTTTGTCTAGAAATTAGAATCTTGTTATTGTTTAATTAATATTATGATTTTCATATTTAATAACTGACAAGATGCATAACTTAAGCTTACAGTAGTGACTGGAACAAACTGAATGACCTCCTACAAGACAAAAATTTAAATATCAGTTAAATAATAATCAAATTCAAATTAAGATAAAGAATACATTTATTTCAATACTTATGTCTGAATTAAAGATAAAAAGCCAAAAGTTGACTAAAAACTAGCAGTTAAGTAAATTCAAGGCAATACCCAACCAGTGTAGCAGAGATTTTGATATAGCAATTTTAAATATTAAATATTACCACTAATAACAAACTGATGAATTACTTTTGATCTTAATAGGTTAAGGTAATGGTAATGTTAATGTAAAGTTGCAAGTTAAATAATGACTGAGGCTGTTTGGTTGCTATGACTCAGAGTTGCCCCAATGACTAACAGTAGACATACCCCTTCTATGATCCATTGTATCAGCTGTTTGTGTCGGGATGTTCCTGGTTTGGGGGATGAGTTCAGATCTTGCATTCAGTGCTGGGTTTCATGTTCTGGGATAAAGCCCCTAGCAGCCTGTGGACTATAAATAAGCCACCATTTGGAGCTGTGTTGAAGTTTTAGGACAGCTGAGTAGAGGGCTGTCCCATTTGAGGATCAGCTGGTGTGAGCTACGAACTACGAAGTGAGTTTCTGTCTTTTCTTTCCAGCCACTCACAGGGTAAATTACTTTTTATTTGCTTCACCATGGCAGCACCAGTCAACCCAATGGACGAGCCAAGGATATACCAACAAACCCTACTTCAAGATGGCCTCTATGATCTACTAGAGAATGAAAAATTGGTGGATTGTAAACTGAAGATCAAGGATAAGGAGTTCCCCTGTCACCGGCTAGTCTTGTGCGCATGCAGCTCTTACTTCCGTGCTATTTTCTTGTCCGACCTGGATGAGAGCAAGAAGAAGGAGATAGTATTAGAAGATGTGGAACCAGGTGTCATGGGGTTAATTCTGAAATACTTATACACATCTCAAATCAATGTCACAGAGCAAAACGTTCAGGACATTTTTGCAGTAGCGAATATGTACCAGATACCATCCATTTTTACCGTTTGTGTGTCTTTCCTCCAAAAGCGACTGAGTCTCAGCAATTGCCTGGCCATATTCAGGTTAGGTTTGATGTTGGACTGCCCAAGGCTTGCTGTGTCTGCACGAAATTATGCTTGTGAGCGCTTCCAACTCATCTCAAGGGATGAAGAATTTTTCCAGTTACTCCCAAGTGAACTGGCTGCCATTTTAACCAGTGATAATCTCAATATAGAGACAGAAGAGGCTGTTTTTGAGGCACTGATGAACTGGGTGTCACGGGACCTTGAAGGTAGGGAGAAGGAGCTGCCTGGTTTGATAGACTGTGTGCGTTTACGACTAGTCACCGAGGATTTTCTAAAAGAGAAAGTAGAGACACATAAATTGATCAAATCTAATCAAGAGTTAAAACAAAAACTTCAGCTGGTTTGGGATGCAAGAGCTGGGAAAATGCCAGAGGTGCAGAAAAGCAAAAAGCAGAGTAAAGAGGGAGAGGAAGAGGAAGAGGAGGAAGAGGGGTTTCTTCCTGGTATCCTAAATGACAACCTGAGATTTGGCATGTTTGGGCGGGACTTGATATTGATGATCAGTGATGCTGGGACTGTGGCCTACGATCCATCTGGGAATGACTGCTACCTGGCCTCCCTCTCCACACAAATTCCCAAAAACCATGTCAGCCTCGTCACCAAGGAGAACCAGGTGTTTGTGGCTGGAGGTCTGTTCTTCGATGAGCAAAGTGAAGACAATCCAATGTGCTCCTACTTCCTGCAGGTGAGGAAAAACACAGATCACAAATGAGAAAGAGTATAGCAGCTTCACTTATATGTGCAACATAAAATGGCCTTAAAAAGGTGCAACTAGTGAAATTAAAATAATTTTTAGAAGTGATGTCATCAGTCAGACATATTCAATATAATACACAATAATAAAACTATTAAATATACACACAATTTCCCTATTACAACTCAAACATTAAGCTCTACAACAGTAGTGTAAAGAATACCTAAAACTATTTTTAGTTGCACATTTCTATGTGGCCCACTACCTGCTTGTTTCCATGGGGATATTATTGCCTTGCCAAGAATGTTCCACTATCTGGCATTAGACACTAAATACTTTAAAAAACTATGCATAGAATTGCACAGGATTTAAGAAGATTTAACACCTACTCACATAAATACCTGATGTTTACCTTTTGGGACCTCAGTATGACCCGACGACTGCTGATTGGCTGGGGATGCCTCCGCTGCCTTCTCCGCGTTTCCTGTTTGGTTTTGGTGAGGCGGAGAACTCCATCTTTGTTATGGGAGGGAAGGAGCTCAAGGATCAGGAGCAAACGCTGGACTCGGTTCTGATATATGACAGACAGTGAGTACATTCAGACAGCATTATTGACTACTCTATCATACCTACTCCTTAATTAGCCCCACTAAAGCATGAAGAAAGGCTTAATGAATGATGAACAAATAGTTTACAAAGAATGACTTAGTAACTACTTTATGAAAAGGTTAGGAGTTAGGAATATTAAAGTATTTATAATTAACTATATGCTTATTTTGAATCAAGTCTTTATTAAATGTATTAAAAGTGTAATTATTATAAAGTGTTACCAATGATTGTTCTTACCTTTAACTTTTATCTGCAGGTCATTCAAATGGGGTGAATCTGAGCCAATTCCTTACCCAGTGTATGGGCATGCAACAGTGTCATACAATGATATGGTATATGTGATTGGAGGAAAAGGAGACAATAAGTAACATCCACAGATTCATTTACTGATCATGCCAATATAATAGTTAATATCTGTAGCATTAAAACCATCTGATCTCTCCAGGAAGTGTCTGAAGAAGATGTGCGTGTATGATGCCAAAAGGTTTGAATGGAAAGAACTGGCTCCTATGAAGTTCAGCCGATCATTATTTGGTGCTGCGGTTCATAATGACAAGATCTATGTAGCGGCTGGAGTCACAGACAATGGACTGACTGACTCTGTGGAGGTGTATGATATCGCTACAAACAAGTACGTCTAATACATAAAACTTACTCAAAATCATGCCCAAACCTAAATGTGACGTCATGATCCACTGCTGTTGGCAGGTGGTCCGACTTGGAGGTCTTTCCGCAGGAGCGCAGTTCACTAAACCTGGTGTCTTTGGCTGGGACCTTATTTGCAATTGGTGGTTTTGCTATGATGCCTCTGGAAGACAGTGACGAGATGGTTCCCAGAGAAATGAGCGACATTTGGAGGTGAGTCACATCTTACAGGCCACTACAGTGATGAATGGTAAATCATCTTCTCTTAAATGGATTTGTTGCACATTTTTAGGTTTAATGAATCAGACCAACAGTGGAACGGGGTCCTGAGGGAAATTAAATACGTCACCGGGGCCACTGTTCTTGGGGTCCGACTTAACACACTGCGTCTCACCAAGATGTAATTTTATAGTAATTATTATTGCTATGTAAGACTGTTTATACTGACTGATGATTGTGGATTTGAAAATCAACTAACTTTATTTTGATAACAGACACTACTGAACAGTATATTGTAAGAGCACTTTGCTCATTAACAGAATTATTTTGTATATTTATATTCCCTTCATTCTAAGAGTTAAACTGGACACACTGCATTAAATAAACAGTTATTATCTTGTGTCCATTGAGGAGATTGTGTATTTATTCTGTCGCTCCAGCTCTGTATCTCTATAAACTTTAAATCATCTGAATACAGGAAAACAAAACAGCACATGACCAGCGTATATTATCAGTTTAATATTGAAATTGTTTTGTTATGCTCTGCAGTGTTACAGACAGGAAACACTAGTCAATCGTACAGATAAAGACAGTAATACAATCTAATGTTATTAGCACCACTAGATACTATAGTCCTTTACATGGGGTTATTTTATATTGTTCTGCTGTACACCAGAGGAACTAAGACATGTTTGGTACATTACAAAGTTCTGAGTCTGACCCTTTAACAGCTGCAGTTCAGGACCAGGGCAGAGGGGGTTCTATGGGGACAACAGTGAGGATCTGCAATCAAATAAGGATAATGCAACAGAACTGCTATAAAAGTTCATTATTCATAGCCTATATCTAATTCTAATAATCCCATCCCACTCTTCTGCAATGCCCTAATAGCTGCATCTCTTAAACCCAGACTACCAACACAAGCTCAAATTTCTGTAGCAGCTCTGAACCATCTCACACCAGCTGTAAGCCTTCAGCAGCAGTCAGGAGGAAAAGTGTCAAGTCTAAGTCCATTTGACCAGTCACAGTGCAAAACAACTCATCACATTAAAGTGTGAAAATAACTATACCTAATGTGTGTGTGTGTCACAGCTATAAATTATCTTGGTCAAATACTTTTTTTTAAAACCAGATTCAAGGAAGACTTTCTTACTTGTGTTAACAAAATGTAGTCTCTTAAGTGTGTTATAAAAAGTAACAAATCAAAGTATTGTCAAATATCTCTTGATATTATTTTGTTAAACTTCATGTTCCTTTGACAATTCATAACTTGCAGTATTTGATTTACTGCAGTGCAATCCTTTGGTCGTGTGCTCATACATCAATCCACTTACAGTTTTGTTTTAGTAACCAATTGCATTTTAGTACATTTTTGAAACTTATTTTTTAATTGCAACTACATTGCTGCTAAGCAGCTAAAAAGTTAAAGTGCTTTTGTAATTCATTTCAAATTCATTGGCAATAGATTTTTGAAAAACAATATGTAAAATGTTTAGTGCTTTCTTTTGATTCACACCATTTGTCTGTTGGTGACACCTGCTTTCTGTTCACAACAAAGACAAGGCCACAGCCACAAAACCTCATCTGACCTAAACCTTTAATTAAATATGAACCAGATTCATGTGCAAATGTTGTTTGGATCCTTTCAGATGCATCTGTGCTAGCCTTTGGAAACTTTACAGACTAATCTTCTAAAATGTACAATGGGCTACAGAGCAACCAAATTCAAAGTGCATAAATCAGTAGTAAATAGAAAACCATCAACATTGTTCATAAAACATTCAGTTTCTACCAAATATAAGGCAAATAGATTCTTTGACAACAATACAGCTTTGGCTATTGGGTTAGTGCTGCAAAGCCACCATCCTTCCTTTGTGCCTTTTTGAACTTATTGAAGTAACTCTGCAGTTCACTCTGTTGCCACTAGAGGGCAACAATTGATCTTCTGTGTTTCTACAGCCCCATAGGATTTCTAATTTCTAAAACAAAACAAAAAAAAACATTACATGTACAAAACCAGCAAATAAAATTAAAATGTGTCTAACGCATGGGAAGTACAATATCATATTGAGGCCCAACCTGTTTAATGACAGTTGAAGCCTTAACAAAGGTGGGCAGACATAGCAATAAGGTGCTTAATGCTTAAACAAATCTTCAAACACAAATCAGTCTAATCTTACACCACAGCCTTTCATCATCTGGTTGTACCAGCCACTACACAGGGCACATTCTGTGGCCTCCTTGTAAACATAAGGAATAGTCACACTGTATTTACAGGGCAATGCTACACCATGATCCACCCCAACTCCTGTCTCTCATAGGTGCTTTCAACTTTTTTGGACAGAAATGTCAGATAACAACTGAACAAAAATAGAAAGTTAATTTAAGGTGTTACTTTAAACACCAAAACTACATTATAATGGTAGTAAAAGTGCATATAGGGCATATGTTCGGCTGACTATCACAGCTAAGTTATTACTTTTTTAAGTCTATTGTATCACAAAGGAGCAAACTCTTCATTGCCAAATGTTATAACAGAGACTTAGGCATATAAGACAGTTCACATTATAGAGAATATAATGAATAACTATTAATTGTGCACAGTTATTTCAGCAGGTTTGTCAATCCCTAAAATTAGTTACCTTTGTTGATTATGTAACTACTTGAATTGATTAACTTGTAATGAGTTCCAAACTACTGGTTAATATTAGGTATTACTTAATTCCGCCTTACAATAGGTGGCAGTACAGGAGCCTTTACACAGAAAAGTGCTTCACTTCTGGAGTAGCATGTTGCTTAATGTAAGCAAAACATGACACAACATCCTTCATCTTCTCTCCACTTAAAGGAGCTCACACACTGGATTTAAATTCCACTTAAACACACAACATTGCACTCTCTCACATCCCTTCCACAACATAAAGTTACACTCATAAAAATGAAGACAAATTGGAGTACTAAATATCACAGGAGTTAAATGTAAGGTGCAAGAGCTGATTATAAATGCTATATAACATTATCTAACTATAACAGGAGCTAACAGGATTTGGTTACTGGCAATGCCATATACACCAATACACCCAAGAGACAACAATATCAGCATTTGGTTATTGCTGGGTCACATCTGGCTACATCTGGGTAGAGAGCAATCAAAAATAAAACTTCTCATTGTAACGGGTTTGACTGCTAATCATGTTTTTAAACTTCCAGGTTGCTACAATCAGTTACTTGTGCGAGACTCTGTAAATAAGAATATTGTGTTGGAAAATCCCAGGTCAAACCAGTCAATCCAAGAGGAGAAAGCGGCGAGTATAAGTCCAGGTGAAATCTGAGGTTATCTATTGTATTTGCAAAGTAAAAAAGTCAGTTTGTGGTAGGTGTGTTTTTCTGAGGCCTTCATGTTGTCACTTGAGAAGAAAGAAAGTGCGTTCCGATGCTACGAAAAGTTTTAGTTATTTGAGTTGATCCTACCGGCAGAGAACAGGGGGGGAGGTGGGGGCAGCTGAGGACTCGGAGGCAAGGCCCCCATGGAGTGCAGCAGAGGCAGGGACATCTGGGTGCCGTGGAGTGGGTGCTGGTTAGTGGGTGTGGTGGGGGGTGTAGTTACCGATGTGGCCACTAGTTGGAGCTGAGTGGAGGCGTCCGTGGCGGGGGTAGAGGTAGGCTGATCCGTGCGGTCAGGGGCTTGGGTGGTGCTCAGTCTGAAGCACTTCTCTCGGTGGGCTTTGAGCATGTTGGAAAAGCGGAATCTTTGGCCACAGACCTCACAGGGGTACGGTTTCTCACCCGTGTGCGTGCGGCGGTGGCGCTTCATGTTGGGACGACTCGTGAAGCTCTTCCCACAGATCTCACAAATGTACGGCTTTTCCCCTGCATAAACATAAAGAACACCCTTAAAGAGATAATACACATTTAGAATAGCTTTCACTATACATAACTAGTTATGTGGCAGTTTAGAACCAGGTCACAAATATTTATAAAGCATTACTTCCAGTAACAGTTACAAACCACAATGCAAGCTTTCTGTCTGATAATAACGTTGTTTTAATTAATAGGTCTTCAAATGTATAAACATCTGTGTTGATTAATTATCTATCAAGTGATAAATCTAAATGTATCTTTGTACCATATTGTATTGTGTGTATATGGGGCCATACCAGTGTGAGTCTTCATGTGCTCGTCAAAGTACTGCTTCATATTAAAATCTTTGCCGCACCACTGACACATGAACTGTTTGTGCCCGATGTGGATGCTCATGTGGGAGCGCAGCTGGTACTTGTACTGGAAACGCTCACTGCAGTTCTGAAAGACAAATATTTAGATATATCAGACATGTCACTTGTGTATTTTACAGTGAATATGTGAATCTGATTGTGTTGAGTGGCTCTGACCTCACACTTGAAGGGTTTCTCCCCCGAGTGCTGCAGAGAGTGCACCTTCAGGGACATGCTGCGTTTGAATGACTTCCCACATGTCTCACAGGTGAACGGCATGTCCTTGGTGTGAGCTGCACAAACACAGGGTACACACAGGGGCTCTTCTTATGATATTTAATATTGAAAGTGGAGAACTCTTAGCTGAAGACTGGAGCATGATAAACATAGAGATGCAACATTTTAAGTATGTATTAAATAATAACCGCATGCGAATCACAACTACAAGGATTTAGGCTAAAGTAAACCTTATATGGCCTAAGTGTACCTAGCATAAAAAAAAACCCAAAACATTTTGAGAGAAATTATAGTAACAAACCTTTTTTTTTTTAAATTGTCAGGGGAAGTTCATGTTACTTATCACTACTGGAAAGAGGAAAACCACACCCAAATGAAATCCTGTGTAGAGTGCAGTAGCCACTCACTCACCGACCATGTGCTTTCTGACATGAGCCATGGTGTAGAACTTCTTCTCACATATCTCACACGAGAACTTCTTCTCAGCGTAACCGTGGACGATCTTGTTGTGCTCATGCAGCGACCACAGCTTCTTAAAGGCCTTTCCACATGTCACACACTTGGGGAGAAATGTACTATTATTAATTAGAAACATTATTTCATTTAATGCAGCTGAAGATACAATGGATTCTCAAAAACAGCAGGGTTAATGAATAACATGGCCTTGTCTTGTCGACTATTCTACCTACATAGACAAATAATGAGCTGTGCTCTCACCTGTATGCTCTTCTCACAGTCAGTCTGTTGGTGCAGCAGCAGCTCACTCTCCATCAGGAAGCGCTTGCCACAGTTGTTGCAAATCTGCATGCGGTTGTGAGTGACAGTCATGTGCTTCTCCAGGTACCAGCGGTTGTTGAAGATCCTGGGGCACTTTTTACAGGAGAAGTGTTGTTTCTCCTCCAATCTCACCTTCTGCCCTGCCCCCTCAACCTCTAGCATCCTGGTCCCACTCTGGCGCTGGTTGCCCCGCGTGGCTTCAGCTAAGGTTTGTCTCATTGAAGTCGTGGCCAGGCTCCTGGTGTCACGGCGGGGTCGATCCAAAATGGCTGCCTGCTCTAACCCTGGAATGTTAAGTGCGTTCTCTTCTTCCTCCCCCTCTTCTTCATCCTCTGTGTCTTCTTCAGTACTATGCCCTAGCATCTCTGTACTATTAAGCTCCTCTTCGTCATTGTCTACTTCGTTGTTTAAATCTGCATTGTTTCCATGGGAGCGACCAAACATTGCAGGCTCTGCACTTGCCATTTTGCCTTTAGATCCTTTGGAAACATTGAGTGTCTGGTTGTTAAGGTTCACTTCCACAATAATCTGTTCTCTATTAAAAGAGGTGTGGCCCTCTGATGCTTTGGACTCCTCCCCTTTACTTTCATCTCCGCCCCCATTAGCCCCACCCCCTGAGCTTTCCTCTTTCTGGTAGTACTGCTTTAACTGTGGTTTCCCAGCATCCTCTACTCTCACTGAAAATGGACTGACACCTTCACGCGTGAACACTTTGGCTAACTCGGACTCCTGCTTGATCTCGCGGTAGAAGCGGCCGGGGGTTATTGCTGTGGCAACTGAGTCGACACTACACGAACCATCCTGATTAGCCATTTCTGAGCTCGTGCTTCTGAGAGAGTGGCTGCTGATGAGGTCACGGCAGGAAGCTGCAATGTCACTCATCTGCAGGAGGGTGGCAGCGTTGAGCACGTCTCGGACAGTGCGGCCACTCACCGACAGTTTGGAGGTGTAGATGAAGTTGAGGATCTGTTGAAGGCCTTGCGACGTCAGGGCATCCAGAGACAAATCCACACGGCGCAGTTGTTTGCTCTGAGCGAACAGGGAGTGGAAGAACGGACTGTAGGCAGCCAGCACTCCCTTGTGGGCGGGGAAGGTACTGTGCTGCCGGACCAGGACGATGTCAACGTCGCACAGGTGGGGCTGGAAGAGGCGCTGCTCATTCAGCCTGTCCATCAAACAGGTGAAGTGCAGAGCCACATCCTCCACCAGAGAGAACTCAGCCGACGGGAAGTCTGTAGTCTTCTCCACTATGAGCTGCAACACACACAGACAACACATTAAAATCAAAAGAGCAAAGCAATTGAAACGTCAACCACTATCTATGCAATACTTTTCTTTTTTTTTTTTAAGTTTTAGTACCATTTTACATCAATCTTTTATACCAAACTTGATTAATTAAATTGTTTAAAGCTGAATTAAAACCACAATCAAAGCTGTGCATTATGACAATTGAGAGTCCCATGAGCTCCTATGATTTTAATATTTAGTAAATTATAATTACATGGTTAGAATTATACTAAAAGAACAAAACGCCTCTCAAAAAAGTACCTTCTTTCCACCCCTGCTTTAACAATACCACTTTTGAAAGAGCCACTGCTTTATTCCTCTTAAATATCACAATCAAAATGTTCTGTTATCTCTACAGCCTCCTCGACTTCCCAAGGTGGGTTTATTTTAGACCAGGAAGGGCAGGGTTTCGATCCAGGCGGGAGGCTAAGGGACACACTTTCACAACATAACAAGACACACACACATGCACACACATACACATTATACTTTAGCACTATTGGTATTCAGTGCCACCTCATGTCCATTAGCAGCCTCCCTCTGCTCACCCACTCACAAAGCTGTCTCAGGGGAGCACTCAATTTATGCAGAAGGCAAAACTGAGAAATAATTAAGCTAACCCTGCCCAATAAATACTAAATAGACCCTGTAAACAATTCTAAGAAGTTATCAGTCCGGTTGTAGCTTAAAGGTAAAAGTATTGATAGATGCTTTACTAGAAAGAACCTTAATTATATGTTGTGGAACGGTCACTCTTATTATAGAAAGGGCAATCTGATTCAATTCATTATTCATTAGACTAAGGACAATACCCATTAAAGCATTTAGATATTATGGTGTGAATAACAAAGAACGTTAATTGTGTTTTAAAATACAAAGCACTTTCAGGCAGTAACCTTGAAAAATCTGTCCATTTGAAGAATTCAATTATGGATTTGTTCATAGTTTAGAGCTGCTAAATTGGACTGAGAATATCAAGTTATCCGTGTGCGAGCAGTCCAGGATACAGACACGAGCCAAGGGCAAAATGCTGCCACGGCCGCCCTAATCAGATTTTAAGTTGCAGACTGGAAGCTATGATCCTTAAGTGATAAGAGCTGCAGCATTTTATGAAGACAGAACAGGGCAGACAAATTAACCCATACATGTCTATAATAGAGTTAAAATTGATTCCTGTTTTACAATGAACAGTGACTTTCACATTAGAGGAATATTATTTTTAATGTATAGTGAAACTTTTAGGAGCACCAATATTTTGAGTATTTGCGATTCAACAATGGCAAGAATTTCGGCCATTTTTGGCCAAAGCGAATTTAAAAAATAACAGTTCCCACTCTTTTTCACTGACAAAATTTCAAAACTTTTCCATGACTTTTTAATGACCTAACTTTACGGCACTCTGCATGTGTAGAATTAAGCATACCTTATGGTTTGGTATTATAGTCTGTAACATTCAAAAGACTGTCAGGGCATTTATTGTTGTCTCACCATGGAAACCCTGAAGGGAACTTTAAAGGTTTTCTTATTCATAACCACAAACATACAATATAGAATGAGACAAAAGCCATGGCAAGGAGTTGGAAAATTATTTACTAATGACCACTTAAAAGTCAACCCAAAATCAACATATCTGAATGACGATGAAAACACAGACCAGAAGGTGGAACATGTCCAAGTACTTTACTACATTTGAGAGCAGGTGTCTGTACTTTTTGTTCCCCACTTCAACACATTTTAATTTGAGCATGCAAAAATATAAAAAAGCGCTAAAATATATATATATATTTAAGATATATATGTTTCTGTTGAACAAAATTCAGCACAGATCATATTAAAATCAGCACATATTCAGCTTTATTAAATCTCAAAATATGTGCAAAATGTTTATTTTTTACTCTTTACATAAATTTGCAAACAGGTACTTAAGTCAGTTTTTTCATATGATACTTTTACTTTTCAGTATTTTTTGCTCCGGTAACTGTATAAAATTGAATACTTCTTCCACCATTACCATGAGCCATAAGCACATCCAGCTCATATTATTATTGTCTTCACCTTTGTCAGGGATGTCATGGTGAGAATACATCCATGGCTCTCTCAGTCAGGTGTCTGTCTTTACATTATTCATATCTGACCTGAGCTAGACTCACACGCAGCAGGTGCCTCACTGACACATCCAAACCAGACATGTCATTTAAATAGCCTTCTATCACGCTTATCAGCCTTCATACAAGTGAATGGAGGGCTACATTGAGTTACTAATTAGCTCTGATAGGCACCTTAATTAAATGTCAGGTTTGACCAGACTGGAAGGCGACAGCTCAATATGCATCTGTGTGTAATGGGATCTCCTACCCAAGTTTAATGTCAAATTGATCCACACTTTACAGGAAAAAAGATAATGTGAAAGATAACTGCAGCATTTTCATCCTTAAGGGGTTGTCTAATTAAAATTTGAAATTGCTTTGTCATATCATGCATTTTGACAGATATCACATTAGCCAAAAGACTTGAGAAACCTCACAGGACAACAGGACTGGGACACAGTGGCTGGGTAGCTGGTACTATGGCCTTGCAACAAGAAGGTTTCAGGTTTTCAGGCTGCCTCAGCCTTTCTGTGCGTAGCTACAAATTTCTCTGGTTGCTGGCCACTACTCCCAAGTCTTGCCCCATTCTGCATTGAAGGATAAGAGAAATACAGAGAATATTGGTACTGGATATCAGCTTCTAAATATCGGTTCAGTCCATATCTTGACTGGACATATAAAGTGATGAAATAAGAGTATAAACTGGTCATAGTCAGCCCAGAAAGTCTCAGAATGTTTGAAAGTTTAGTTACACAAAGTAGTTACTTGAGAAATAAATAACAGCTACATTTGGACAGTTTTGTCTTATAGAAGTTTTATTTAGAGAAAATGCTGTTTTCACTCTCTGCACTGGTATTGGTTGATATCTGATAACAGCAGATCCTTAAAGCATCAAACAATCAGTATCAGAACTGAAAAAGCTGGCTCAGTGCATCCCCAACTTAACATTTTATTGACCCCAAGTTAGCCCTTAATTTAATTTGTTCACAAACCATTAATATATTTCCACACCCTGACAAGAAGAGTAAACTAATAATAATGTATAACTTGTATGATTCTTAACAGAGCCTTTAGAGGATCTTTAGCCCCGGGGGCGGTATGCACTTGGCTCTGTCTAGACTCGTGAATTCCAGCCAAATCCAGGTTCACAAAGTTCCTCGAGTGAAAATGTCCTCTCTCTCCCACACCTTTAGCATAGCACTCTCTCTGTGTCGATTTACTGCATTGTAAAAGTTAGCTTCTCCGTCACTGGGCAGCTCGGTTCAACAGCTTTTGTGACAGTGCAATTTAAGAAGCCACTATATTCACTATGAAGTATTGTAGGCTTATTGCTGTAACCTGAACTTAAATCAAGTTAAAGTGAACTTAAAGGTATACTGTGTTGTTTATTAGCAGAATCTTGTGTTAGGTTAGGGAGATATGGTAATATAAACTGAATCTTCATCAATATGTGGCAGTGACAATATGCCATTTTGGTGATAATGCTAAATAGTGAGTTGAAAACACAGACCTTTTCCCACTCTTATTTGTCCCAATTTTTTTTTTCCGTATTACAACAAAAATAACTGAAATCTCAACACTTAGAAAATGTGCACACAATAAACGTTGAGGTCCACAATAAATAGTTTCAGCTTTCATATTTTGAAAAATTAGTAGATATAGTAATTATCAGCCTAGAATTTCACCAGTTACAATGAAGATTGAACTTTCAGAAGAAGTGGATGTCTCTAGTTATACAAAGGATTTATGATAAATTCGGAATACGCAATATGAATTTCTTGACCTATCACCCACTCCTTAGGTTAGGTTTGCTGTTATTTATAATTTGTTTACTATGATCTTCTTTACAGAGCAGCCCTAAAATACAGATGCATATGTTTATCTCCTCAGTGTTGCAAACCAGATTTATGAGCGGAGCTGAAGACGCTCGGCCTTGACTGTCTTGTTTGTTTGCTGACCAGTGAGAGCGCGCAAAGGCATTTGCATGGCCCAATGTCAAAGCAGCTTGGAGAGTCATGGTCACATCAATAGATTTGATGTGTGTGTGTGCATGTGTGTGTAGGATTGGGGGTGGTGGAGGGGGTAGAGGCAGGAGGCTGTCCCAGGAGGAGAGCTCAGTGGGTGGGGTAAGGGGGGGGGGCACAGCTCTCCCTGTCTGCCTCCACTGCTCCAGCTGAACTCAATGTCCTCTTACATCACCACCTTTATGTTTGACTTTTACGACACACAAACACCTCGGCTGGTGCCACATTCTCATTAAGTTGCACTCACAGGCTCTTGTTGCCAATTTTAGTCCATTAATGTTCTCATGTATATCTAATACGTAAAGCAATGAATCTGTCCTTATACGGCTATTCCTCCAGCTAGAGGTACTCTTTTTTATTTTAAACAGAATGAAACAAGTAACAAAAATATTAGCAGTGGATTAATATAACATAGCAACACTTAAACATGTCGACATTTACCACAGAAGTCCCACTGCCACCTCCAGACCTGAGCCCTGCAGGATCTGACACAAAGGAAGGTGATGGGTGCCTGCGTCAGACATCACCTTCACCTGCCTTGGGACAAACTTACACCTGAGTCATCACATATCATCATGAACCAAAGGGACAAAGCAAGACACGATATGAATAGACTAGATATGAATAAGTGTGTTTACACTAATACTTCTAATATATTAATATACAACAGTAATATGTAATTTCATTATAACTAATAACATATTCTTTGTTCAATAAACCTTTTTTCTCCTAAACTGTGCACATGGTATTTTAAAAGTGTTATCCACTGTTCCTTTTGCCTTTTAGAGCAAACTGAGTTCATTTGCAGATTTGTGGT